CCAAAAAAAAAACACCGCTGCAAGAAATCGGAACCGCGGGGCGCTCCGTCATCCACCGGGCAGCACCGGAGCCGCTCCGCTCCACCCGTTGGCGATGCGACGTCCCGGGAGCGACCGCAGCCCCTCGGGACCGGAGATAACGGAGCTGCAAACGGGACGGCGGCCGCGGAACGGCACTCGGTGCCCACCCACGAGGTCCCGGCGTCCCCCAACCGCCGTTCCCCACCGCCCCGCAGCTTCGGCCACCTGCGGGATCCCCGCCGGTACCGAGCGCTGGAACGGCGCCGCCGTCAATCCGGCACCGAAGTCGTTCCCCAGCGCTCCCATCCCGCTTAGAACGACCGCAGTCAGTACCGCGCCGCGCAGCCGAATCCCCGCCCCGCGGTACCGGCGCCCTCCCAGCCCCGGTACCGGTCCCGCTTTGCCCGGTACCGGCCCCGCGCCCCCAGCCCGTACCTGGGTGAGGCAATACGGGGAGTACATGGCGGCGATGTCAGCCGCGGCGGGGCATGGCGGGCAGGGAACCGGCACCGGGACCAGGACCGGAACCGGGAGGGCGGCGGAGCGGGGAAAGTTTGGCCGAAGTTCGGCGCCCGCCGCACTTTTGCCGCCGGGAAGCGCCGCGTTGGCCACGCCCACCGTTAAGCCACGCCCACAACCACCAGGCCCCGCCCACACCCGACAGACCCCGCCCGCAAAGCATCCCGACCACGCCTACACGCCGCGTGGACACGCCCCCTAAGCCCTGGCCCCTCCCCCTTGGCGGATGAATGGAGCGCGGGGGGGCTTTGTCCCCTCGGTGTCCCCGCGGTCCACATGGCTAGGGGACCCCGGCAGCGGCGGTGGCACCGTGGGGACGGCCGGCAGCGGCATCACAGCGGCATCTCGGTGCCACCACGGGGATGTCACCGACAGCGGCGGTGTCACGACAGTGCCATCACAGCGGCAGTGTCGGTGCCAGCGGCAGTGCGGTGATGGCGGCGGCGGCACCTCATCTGTCATTCCGGCTGCAGCCACGTCCCTCCACCATCTGTCACCGCGCGGTGCCAATGCTGGCACTGCTGCTCGCACCCCTTCGCTGCCGGAGGCGCTGAGCTGCCCGTGGGGGCACAAAGCCCCCCCCCCCAGGGGGGGGACCGCGCACCAAAATGAGGAGAAAGTAGCTCAGAATGGAGCGCACCCCCAGCATAGGGGGACACACGGGGTGGTGCCCCCCCATCCCCCTCCTTTCAGCTGTATGGAGAGGCAGATGGACGGGAGCTGTGAGCACACGCGGTGACATGAGGTGACAGCACGACACGCAGTGACAGCCAGGACGCATCACGACACGCTGCGATATATCGCGACACGCCGGGATGTCAGGTGTGACATTAAGCGAAACGCCGGGCTGCACCGCCTGCTCCCACCACCCCGGGCACTCCGAGCCGCCAATGAAGCTTTGAGACCCCCAAAGGTCCCGCCGGGTTCGGTCATAGGGAGAACAAAGCTGGCCAATCGCAGCAGCCCCAAAATCCGCCAAAAGTGGCCCAAAAAGCGGGCGGTGTTCCAGCTCCCCTCCCCCATCCCTCCAACACCTGGGGCTGCTGGGGCAAGGAGGGGGGGGTAAGCGCGGGGGGGGGCGGAGGCCACGGAGAGGATTTTGGGACAATTTCGGAGGATTTTGGCTCGGCGTTGGGGCGCTTTTTCACCGCCCGCCGCCGCCTGGAAGCCATTAGGCCCCCCCGGGGGAGGGCAGCGCTGCTCCGCCCCCCCCAACCACCTCTGGGAGGGCTCGGGGGGGGGGGGAGGGGGGGTGGCTGACAGTGGCCTATGTTGGGCCCGGAGCCGCTCTAATGAGGCTCCTTAAAGAAGCCACCCCTTCCCGCAGCCCCCCGCCATTTCCCCTTCTCAGAACTCCACACTCCTTACTCCCACCCCCCCCATCCCGTCCGGACCTCCCGCGCTCCTCTTCCCTCCTTCCCCCTCCCATCCTATTTTTCAGCCCCCCCTCTCCCCCAAACGTCACCTCCTCTTTCCACTTCCGCCCGCGCCTTCACTCACTTCCGTTCAACGCCACTTCCGCCCATCTCCCTCCCATACAAACGTCACTTCCGCTCATCTTTTTTTTCTTCATGACGTCACTTCCGCTCGTCGCACAAGATGGCGGCGGTCACAATGTGGTGTTTGCGGTTGGGCCGCGCTCCGTGGGCCTCGGGCCCGGTTCGGCTTTACCGAGCGGCTCCTCTACGGCTCCGCTTCGGGCCTCCGCCCCTCACCGACCCTGAGAATCAACGCGAGGCGGCGAAGCATTTCGGGCGGCTCGGGGCGGCCTCGGGAGTGGCGGTGGAGCGGCTGTGGCCCAGCCCCGAACGGTTGCGGGAGATGGAGGAGGAGGAACGGGAGTGGTGCCCGTCACTGCAGGAGATGGAGGCGGCGCTGGAGCGGAAGGAGCGGGAAGAGCGGCGGCTGCGGGAGGAGAGGTGGGGGGGGG